TCTGCCACCCCACCCTTTTGCAATTTGGACTCACTTTGCAGCAATGGAAGTAAGATTAGGATAAAGGAGGAAAGTGGGAGGAAGAGAGAGAAAGTGAGACATTTGAAAAGCAGATAAAGAAGTAGGATGGCAGAAGATTAATTGGGACTTTCCTTGCAAAATTGAGAATGAGTTGAGGACAAAGGGGAAAAATGGGAGATGGAGAGAGAAGCCAGGACATTTGAAAAGCAGATGAAGTGGGATGGCAGAGGATTAATTGGGACTTTCCTTGCAAAACTGAGAATGAGTTGAGGACAAAGGGGGAAAGTGGGAGGAGGAGAGAGAAACCGGGACATTTGAAAAGCATCTGAGAAAGTGGGGTGGCAGAGGATTAAGTCGGACTGTCCTTGACAAACTGGGACCGTTGGAGGATATGCTATTTTTAACAAAGCCCCACAAAGATCACTGAAAGGAAAAACCCATCTGACTCTCACAAAACAACTACCCACCATGGCAGAAAGTTCCAAAGCCTTCCAGAAAACAGACAACAAATCCCACCCACAGGCCTCTATAAATATCCCCCGTGTAGGAGAGCCTCTTCGGGTTGGAATAAGCTCCCTTCTCCTAGGCATCTCTTTGCAGCCGGATCCTAGGGAAAGGAGGCATCCCGAGACCCAGCCACGACTGGAGGACCCATGGTGCACAACCCAACCCAGGGTGCTCAGTGGCCCTACGGTGCAAGGGCAATTCTTTCAGCCTTGCAGGGGAGGATCAAGCATTAGAATAGTTTTCTCTCCACTTGCTCTTGCTGTTGTGTGCTTTCAAGTCATTTCCAACTTAGGGTGGCCCTAAGGAGAAGAAGCTATCACAGGTTTTTCTTGGCAAGATTTGTCCAGAGATTTTTGGTTTTTTTTTTTTGCCAGTGCATCCTTCTGAGGCTGTGAGAGTGTGACCTGCCTAAGGTCACTCAGTGGGTTTCCATGGCTGAGCAAGGATTCGAACCCTGATCCCCAAAGTGCTAGTCCAGTGCTCTAACCACTAGGCCACATTGGCTCTCTACTACAGAGGGGAAAGTGAATATTTCTCAGTAGTTGTTGGGTGCCTTCAAGTCCTTTCTGACTTCTGGCGACCCTAAGACAAAGCTCTCATAGGGTCTTCTTGGCACGTTTCTTCAGAGGGGGTTTGCCTTTGCCGTCCTCTGAGGCTGAGAGTGTGTGACCTGCCTATGGTTACCCAGTGGGTTTCAATGGCCAAGCCAGGATTCGAACCCTGGTCTCCAGAATTTTAGTCTTAACGCTGAAACTACACCACCACGCTAGCCCCATACGGATACAAACACACCCACAAACATTGCTGTGTGTCTTCAAGTCATTTCCAAATGATGGCAACCTTGTGATGGGGTTTTCTAGGGCTGAGAGGGTGTGACTCACCCAAGGTCACCCGACGCATTTTCATGGCCGAATGGGGAACCGAACCCCAATCTCCAGGGGCTCTAGCATTTTTGCATTTTCATAGAGAAAACATGAAATATTTCACTCTGCATATGGCGATGAAAGAAGTACAGATTTGCATCTCGAACTCAGTGCAACACATCTCAGGGTCACTTTGGCCACAAAGGACCGGCATTTCCAGCAGCAAAACCTTAGGCTCAGGACTCAGGACCTTTTTTTCCTTCCATAACATGCGCTTTTGGGGATTTTGCAACCTGCTTCGCTTCCTTGGTGATTATTCGGGGCTCCTTCCCACTTTTGCAGAAAAGATGCCTCGCTTTGTGTGGTTTTTACAAGGAGAGACATAATTCCAGTGACAATACCAATTGCAGAAAAACATCGATCAGGAAATTAATAAAGAAACCAAAAAAAAGAATGGGAGCGAGACTTAATCCTTCTCCAATTAGGGCTCCAAAGATAGATGGAAAACTCTTGCTTTTCATCCCAATATGATATTATTATTATTATTATTATTATTATTATTATTATTATTATTATTATTATTATTATTATTATTATTATTGGGTTTATGTCCAGGCTAGCCTATTTAAAAGATTGCATTTTTCTAAAGAGAGCCAGTGTGGGTATAGTGGTTTGAGTATTAGACTATGACTTTGGAGACCAGGGTTCGATTCCCAACTTGGCCATGAAACCCATTGGTTAACCATGGTCAAGTCACACTTTCTCAGCCTAAAACAGAGGTAATGTCAAACATCATTCAAACTCTTTCACCTTTAAACAAATACCTACTCTATTTGCCCACGCCAGGA